CAGTATTCTGGTCCAACAGGCAACAGAACAGTCTACCTTCCTCTATGACTTTATCCATTCAGAGGACTCAGTTCTGATAGCTGTTCAGTTTATATCTGCCCTAGCAAAGGCTATGAAGGATCCCTGGGAAACTCCCAGTCATCCTCATCTGACATTCCATTGTCTTGAGGAAATGTATAGGGTCCAGGAGCAAGACATTTCTTTTCTGCTCCACCACCCTCTCTTGAATTCCGTGATTGTTGACTCAACAGAGGGCAAGCAGCAGTGTGACCATACCATACTGATGGATAGGGAAGGTTGACTCTCCAAGAAAACAACTCACCATTCTGATCACAATATGCACCAGCCTTACGTGGTAGACACGAGAGCACCATGTGTCACAAGAGCTACCATTTCAACTGGTGGAACCGACAGCCATCATCATTATGGACACATTACTCACGGGCTGAGGTGCCCACATCCAGGGTTTGATGACTCAAGGAAAGTGGTCTGTCCCAGAACGAAAGCGGCACACCAACTATTTGGAACTATTAGCAATTTTCAAATGACTGATGGCATTCCAAACCATTCTCTCTGGAAATCATGTCCAAGTTGTCTCAGGCAACAACACAGCAGTGTTTTATGTCAACAAACAGAGGGACGTCTTGCCATCAACATTTGGGATTGGTGCATCTCCCACAACATCACTCTCATGGCCATTCATCGGTTGTTGCTTTTAATGTTGAAAGCAATCCTGAGACGTTGTCGTAAAGGATGCATATACATGTTTTAAATAAAATAAAATATGGTGGGCACAGACAACACCACAGCAGATGCATTGAGTGACTTTACATACCAACCTCACGAGTGGAAACTCACCCAACAGGTACTGCGAGACATTTTTGAGATCTGGGGCTGGCTGTTTGCCATGGAACGCAGCGTGCAATGATGATTGCATGAGAGCAGGAACTGGATGGGGATCAAGGGGAGACACTTTCTGCATGCAGTTGAACAAGGCATTCTTTTACACATTTCCGCTATTTCCCTCATCATGAGAACCATCACAAAGATCAGAACAGACAACACACAGGCCATCTTGATCACCCCATGGTGGCCCAGACAACCATGGTTTCTGTCACTGCTACGCCTGTCCAACAATGTCTACAAACATCTACCTCAGACAGCAGACTTATTAACCCAAAACCATGGAAAGCTTGTTTATCCCAAAATTCACACCCACTGCTTAACTGCCTGGTTGATCCTATGATTACACTTCCAATTGCATCACTGGATTCGATTCTGACGCCTCAGATCATTCACAAGGAACACACTCTGAATTTGTTAAACTGTTCGGCACCAGACTGCACCATCCCAGTCACATCATCCTCAACACCATTATTTCATTTCCCCTCTCCACTAACTGCCATTAACAACTCTCGGAACTATACCATATTGGATCTGACGCATTCGGATCTGACATGTTCCATCTTTGTTCCAAATACCTCAAGCTCAGCTGTGCTGGAACTGCCGAACTCGAATACAATGGAATCTAATCCTAGGATCCAGACCATGGAGTGTACTCTCAACTACCTCCTATCAAGCACACCAAACTTAGACCCTGCCATTCAACAAATCCTTACAGCTTCCCGTAACTCAAACACTAGAATATGCTATACTGCCAAATGGACAAAATTTAAGCAATTTGCCACAATCCATTCCTTCAATCCCTCTTCAGTGTTGATTACCAATATTCTGCAATTTCTGTATTCGTTATATTTTTCTGGACTGAAACCCACTTCAGTACGGGTGTATTTGTCAGCGATCTCCACATTCCATGGACCAATTGATAGACACATGGTTTTCTCTCACCCCCTCTCCCATTGCTTTATGAAAGGGCTGATGAAACTTCATCCTCCAACTCGACTCGTATTTCCACCCTGGAGTCTTTATGTAGTCTGCATGCACTAACAAAGCCTCCATTTGAGCCGCTAGCTTCAGTAGACTTTCAACTCCTATTTTGGAAAGTCTCCTTTTTGGTGGCCATAACCTCGGCATGGAGAGCATGCAAACTCTGGACATTACGGGTGGGCTTTCCATACCTCACATTCCATAGAGACAAGGTCATTTTATAAACTGATCCATCTTTTCTGCCCAAAGTCTCCTCATCCTTTCACATTAATCAGGAGATAGTCTTACCAGCCTTCTTTCCTTCCCATGCAATGGACATCGAGAAGGCTCTGTACACTCTCGACATCTCAAGATCACTTTCATTCTATTGGTTCTGAATAGATGGTATTTACAAAACAAACTGTCTCTTCATGAAATATGCAGACTACTCTAAAGGAGTTCCTGTCAGATTCTAAAGATTAGCTCACTGGATAGTCGAGACCATCAAGTTGGCATAGGAACTTTCCTTTTTGCACCTACCAGACAATCCATGAGCACACTCTACAAAGGCTATTTCAGTTTCCCCAGCACTCCATGCAGGACTTCTGATTGAAGAGCTATGCAAAGGGGTAACTTAGTCAACACAATCAACATATAAACTGGACATTAGAGCTCCTATGGTAGAGCAGTACTCTCCTTCATACTGCAATGACTGTGACATTTCTTAAGTCTCCCACCATTCCTCACAGATCTATGGAATCAGATTATAGTGGACTATATTTGTTAAACCCAGGTATAAATGTACAATATACATACCAGTTTGATTCATTCATGTTCACTTGATACAGTTTGAGACATTGTGATATGCATTGATTGTCAGGTTACTTCCAATATGATAATTCAACATGTGGGTGATTATATGTCTATCTGACACCTCCTACCTCCATAGAGGGTTGCTTGCTAGTCACCCATATGTGTGATGCACAGAGACCATGACGAAGAAATGCAGGTTGCATACCTGTAACTAGGTTTTCGAGTGGTCATCTGTGCATTCACGCAACCCACCCACCAGCCCTGCATTGGATTCAGTGCTTAAATGCATGAGCTATGTGTCTCTTCGTTTAGATTTATTGCAGTATTATATGTGTAAAGCAAATACACAAGTATACTGGATGCAAATGCCAGTCTCAAAGGAACTGTCAAAATGGCAGGAGCCCACCCTTTCTATACAGGGAGGGAAGGGGGTGGGGCTCCATGGAAAGTTCTAGGCTAAGCTAGAGAAATCTTCCCAAGGGAGGCACTGTGCAGGCACAGCACCCATATGTGAGAATGCACAGATGACCACTCGAAAAACTACAGTTACAGGTATGCAACCTGCATTTACACAATATCCTGGGATGCCTGGACAGCCTAGGGTCACATTTTGTTGTTATGTATACATACATAGTCCTACAGTTTAGTTCTTGTAGGACATTATTAAATTCAGGCTGATAACAAATGTCCTTAATTTAAGCCCCCTGCCTCTTTTACTGTTTTCTTTTTACGCACAAAAGCATGCCTGAGGTGCAAAATGACCCAACATTTGCAGAAGTAAATGCCTGTGGGGAGGGGGTTAAAATCCCCCAAATACACATTTTGAAGCACTGATAGTGGTTAACTACAAGTTACTGTCTTTTGACAGCCAAGAGTTGGAGCTAAAACCCTTGGGTGGGGGGGAGAAACACCCTAAAACATAAAATCGTTTAATGTGGACTGTGGGGAGTGGTACTAGCAAAGAGACTTGTTCAGGTGATCTCTGGATACCTTGCCTAGTCTTCCTTGTTTTCTCAAGTAACCAACACTTTGAGGCTTTTTGTCACAATCAAAAGCTACTCATATAGTTACATTTTAGTGCAGATAGTTTTTAAAGGTTTTCTACTTTCAGTATCTAATAGTTGACTGTTTTGGGTTACCTGACTGTTTGGGTTACATACCTGAATTAACATATTCTTGTATATGAGCCAGGTCATGTATTAATATTTACCTCCAGGTAGAAATGTATAGGACTGCAACTTTGATTTCACTTTCCTCTCATCATTTTTTTGCATAAGGAATCTTTTGATTTGGCCCTGTTTATCTGGTATAAATGGTTTTGTTTCTATGTAAGTTTCTTCTGTCCTATGGAAAAAACTCCCCCTTGCATCCCACCAACATTTGAGGTACATGTGGGAAAGGGAAAGGTGGCTGTGCCTAAGTTCTGTAACTCCTTGCTCACATAAGCCCTTCACTATTTGTCTTCTGGCAAATGGCATGAACCTTCCAGTGGTTTGGCAGGTTTTTGACCTGCCATGTTGCCTCTTCTTATGCCTGACTGCTATATCTCAATAGTTTCAGTTGGCCGTTGTTTTTATCTTATCTTTTGTATTTGTGCGATATATGCTACTTTATTATGTCTTATTGTAGTTTTGTGATTTATAGTTTGTAAGCCCCAAAACTAGACTTGTCAATGGAAAAGTGGAATAAAACTATGCTTCTAATGAATAATGAAGCAATCCAGAGAGCCTTCATGTCAGACGATTCTCCTGATCTTGCTTGCTTTCTTGCTTTCTACCATTTCTATGCCACCCCATTCACAAAAAGCCTTGGGGCGGCTTACAACATAAATAAACAATTATATAATTAGCCTTAAAAATCCGGAAACATCTCGGCACAGACATAAAAACACAATAAATACAATCAATAAATTAACAATTAAAATAACTTTTAAATAAAAAGGTCTTGGCCTGGTGCCAAAAAACAAATAACAACTTTATATGGTTGTCTGCATGGCTGTTTGGGACAGATGAAGAACCAGGGTGGGCTATGCTATTCAGAGTGGTGTGCCTGAGATCAAAGATCAACCTTCCATAGGATGATGCTTGTGTTCCAGATTATGTAGCATACAGTGCCAAAAGAACACTAGAGGGTATCATTTGGATAAGCAGTTACATGTAGGCTAGAATTATTCACCCCGGATGATGATGATGATTGTCATTAGTAATTTAATCATTGTTTAATAGAATGGTTTTCTGACATGTTATGTTCTGATATGATTTTCTAAATATTGGTAATCAGTAGGGAGTCTCAACAGTTTGTTTTTTGTATTTCCCATAAAGGTGGCTGCAATTAACCCAAACCACCCACTGGCTCAGATGCCGTTACCTCCTTCAATGAAAAACTGCATTCAGTTGGCAGCATGTGAGGCTAGTGAGTTGCTACCGATGATCCCTGACCTGCCAGCAGACCTGTTCACCTCCTGCCTTACTACACCAATAAAGATTGCCCTCAGATGGTAAGTGACCCAGCTGTTACTTGGGCATGTATGACATGTTTTGTGAGTGTTGCCTTTTGAACTAATAGAACAGGTTCAGATGACACATCATGGCTTGTAATATAAAAGCTATAAGTCAGTAACTGCAGCAGTTATTGTAGAAGTCAATAACCAAAGACATAAGCAAAGTTAGAATACTGTCAATGAAAATACAGCTTAATGATATGAAGTTGATTCCAAGTGTAATATTTCTCCTTTCATCTAAACCAAAAACCTCTTCTAAACCTTTGTGGTGGATTACAGGAACATAGAAACAGAGCAAGTCAAAAGGGGACTCCCAGGTCATCTAGTCTGACCCCTAGCTCCAGCCGGCTCTGCTCATGATGCCTACCATTATGCATGTCTAATTATACTGCTTATGCATCAGTTGCCTGGAACTTCGGATAAGTCTCAATTAGCCCATGCTCTTAAATTAACACTTATAATTGGACTAACACTGTTAAGTCCGACCCCATTCATTTCAGTTTGCTTCTCAGAATTTTCCAGTGAACTCGAAGCTGTCAGGTTCTCAGTGACTTGCTGGCCTATCCCCGGGTCCCTTGGCATTTCAACTGCAACTTCTAATCCCAACCCTTCCTCTTCCATTTCTGAATCAGATCTTGAGCCAACAACATTTGAAGACTGTAATATAGGAGTAGACTCAATGCCAATACACAACCTAGGTTAAATAATCCATGGTGAGCTGTCACGATGTACATATGATCCTATAGTTTATTAACCTAGATACTTCAGTTGCTTTAAAAATTTCTCTGCAATACTAAATTACAAGACTTTAAGGTGTTCATCTCAGAGAATATCTTAGTAAGCATTCCTGGCCTCGATTATACTTCTGTTTATTACCTTTTGGATTCTAGTTGGATGTTTGGGTTTACTCAGCTTAAGGGACTTACTGTGCTGGAAATTAAAATAGTCTGCCTTTTCACAAATCAGAAATACCATATGGTACAACACAGTGTTATATTAGATCATTTTTCAGACAATCTATAGTGCTGATCCTCAAGTTCTTCTACCTATACACATTCTGTTTATTCAGTGGGAGGGTTTCATTGGTACTGCACTTTGAGGATTGGGTTATAAATCCCATATGTTACCAAAATGCTTGAAATAAACTAGTTAAATAATAATGCAATGATAAAAAGTGTGTAAATATTTGAACTGATGTAGCCTTTTGACAAGGCAGAGAGAGATGGCTTATTCTAGGACGTTTAGTCTGCCAAACAAATTGAGCAGAGCTATGGTTCTCTGATCGCTATGATGCACAAACACAGGCAAAGCTTTTGTGAGTTGAAACAGTGTTCAGTGTTTTCTGTTCTCTGATTTTCATGTAGCAGTTCAGACTTAAGCATTTTTGTAATGTTTGTTGGGTCATGTAGTGAACACCAAGGAAGGTGTCAATTTGTTATATGTATCTTGGCTTTCTACTTTAGGTGGCTCCATGCTTTATATAGCAAAGACAAGTGTGGGTGATGTATGTGGATCTTTGAATATCTGTGTGCACTTAAGATGACCTGGCTCACTCAGGATTTGTGTGACTGTAGCTATTTTGTTCAGTTTCTGATAAGCAATTAAAGAAACAAACCGTTTATGTTTATAGAACTTGGAATAATTACTCTGGAATGATCCAGTGAGAATTTAGGAGGATAAGTAGCTTGAATATTGTTATGTCAAGGGTGCTGTAATCACAACTTGAAGAGCAGTGCTTGGTTGGCAGGTCCCAGAAAGAAAAAAATCAGAGTAACTCATTCAGCTCAGTGTGTATAAAATAAATGATATTAAACGTGTTATTTCACATTCAGTTTCAATTCTAAGGTCATTTTCCAGTTGTACCCTGACTTTGCCAAAGTTGGTTTTCATGCCTATGGTTATTGGGAGCCATCTGTAATGTGTGAAAAGCTGGGTTACATATCCGGTGATATATCATACCCAGGTCAGACAGTACTTTTATACTTTTCCTATTGCTCCCCCCCCCCCATTGTTTCTTGGTATCCCAAGAGCCAGTGTAATTGGATACCTTTATATAGGCAAATAACTCTCTAGCAGCTCCAGCTACCCATAAGTAAATGGGTGTGGTGATAGACCCTGATAACTACTTGTTAATGACAGCAGTGCATTCGATTACAAATAGCATAATTATGTTTGTTATATAATGATATCTTTGGAACAGAATGGTATGTTAAGTGTTTGTTTAGCCTTTTCAGGGGGTGCTAGTTGTAGGACAGACTGATAGGCTCTGAATGGTAACCCTCTATACCATTTTACCCAGATGCCAGTACTCCCATGAGATTGCTACTCAATCTTAGTCACTTTCTGTAACTCAAAGGCTGTTGATATGCTTTATCCCAGAGACAGAAAAAAAATATGGAACAATAAAACTAGGTCTGTGTTTATGAAGAAGTCCTATGCACTATAAAGAGAAAAATTCAGTTCTAGAGAGAGCTTTTAAGTTCTATTATTGATGTACAGGAACATTTCCCTTTGCATGAGGAAAAGATTTGGAGAATGGTTATAATTCTGCCAAACTCAAGCAAGGTAGATAAAGACACCTGAATTTTCATCTATCCAAAACCATATAATTTTCTCAAGACTTGTAGTGCTCCAAATTGGACATAAGTACAGATACTGTTGAGCGAAATGTACCCTGTATATGTTAGGCTTCAGCTTAAAAGCAGATCAAAAGCTTTGTGTATATGAATGACATAACGGTTGTTTTTAGAGATGGATACCTCAGAAGTAGCATCTTGGTCTACATATATTATAAATTCATGTGGCATAACTTCAGTACAAAATGAATGGCAGCTGCAAAATCTAGAGCTGCATTCCCCAAACCTGGTGCCCTGCAGGTGTAATTGGGGATGCTGGGAGTTGTATTCCTTATCTCAAGGGCCTCAAGCTGAGAGTTTGTTTGTTTACATATTTAAAATATTTCCTACCAATTTTAGGCAAAGTTTCCTCAAAGTAAAATAAAATTTAAAAGAAGCATGAAACGTTTAAACAAGAGGAAACATTAAAATCAAAAAATGGGTATTGCTTTGTTTAAAAGTGGACTGGAACATTCAGGACTTTAAGACCTGCATTGAAGAGTGAGGACTGTTGAGGAGTGAACAATGCATACATCCTGCGGTAGGGCTACCCAGGTAACACCCAAAATATAAAATGCATCACACCAACCCAGCCTTCCCCAAGCTCATGCCCAACAGGTGTGCCAGATGACACTTCCCAAGAACCCCAGTAAGCATGCCCATTAGTTTGGAATCATGGGAGACCCAATCCAACACATCCAGAGGGTACCAGAACTAGCCTTAGCCTGGCTTCATGACTAAAGAAAACTATTTGTGTTATGTTTTCAAAAAGTGTTTTGATTAATTGCCATATCAGGAGAAGCATTTTGATTCTGAGCTTCTTTCAGGTGTTTGGTTGAAGAGATCTTCCACCTGGTAATCTTGACAGGATTATTTCTGAGATCAAGTCATATACAAGGATGGTATTTTTTATTTTACTTTCTAGATAATAAGGATCAGTTTACCAAGCTTACAAGGAGTAAAGTGAAATTTAACCCAGAGTGGAAAGGCCAGTTTGCTAGGAAAGTCACTGGTTCTCCAGAAATTGCAGAGAGAAATTTTGAATACAGAATTAACCTTTACTATTCATTAAAACTGACCAGGTTTCTGGAGTGCGTCTCTTTAAGGAATAGGATTTCAGGAAGAAATGTGGAAGAAGAGAGGTGGCTTGTTGAAGAGTGATGGGAGATGGAGATTTCAAAAATAAGAATTTTAATGTTGAAACAGAGCATGATAAGGAGTCAACACATGTATTTATAGAACAGAGTGGTTCGATTGTGATAGCAGAAGAGAAAATGAAAGTTGAACAAATGCAACCTGACTCAGTTGGAGAGATAAATAAAAGGGAGGCAGGTGATAGCAATAGGCTTTATAGACCAGTTCAGATAGTTAATGAGACACACTGAGATTACAGAGTGGTAGTACCCATTTTATTCCACGTTGTTCAACTTAGGCCACAGCAAAATATTATAGCAAATTGGTTACCACTGAAAAAAGTGGTCCTGTGTTTTCTACTCCCTTTGTGCCATAATGTTTAATAATAGAAAGTGTGGAACATTACAGAATGATGCTTGTGGGCTTTTTGTCCTTTTAAGTTGCAATCCATGTAAAGATGCAGGGCAGGAAGTTCACATCCTGATGAGATTGTGTCACTTGGAAGAGACATGGGTCTGCTGTTTTCTGCAGCAGCCATGCATCTCTATAATGTTAGCTTTTGGCCTCTGTCTCCTGGCAAAGATAGTATGGCAGTTGATGCAATGTTAACTCCCTTTTTTGAGCTGGAGCAGAAGCTGAGACTATGAAGGTTTTTTTCAGAAGCAGTTGTAGTTGCTTCCAGAGTACATGTGTTTATAGACACACAAACTACTGAAACAATTTGCAGTTTAGACCACTTGGGAGTTTTTAGGATGTCTGCGTTACTAATGTAATTCAGAGAAATAAATCTCAGGTAAAACTGAATTACAACTTCTCCTTCTCTATTGGCTCTATTGGCTAGTGTGAGAAGCAAAATTTCTGCTTACAGTACCTTTAATGTCATTATATACAAGGGATCCAAATTATTTCCATGAGTTTATTGAGAAATATAACTACAAATCAACTGAAATGTAGCTTTCTCCCTGTTTCTGGCATCTATAGTTCTTCTGGGCATTCAAATCGTAACTGTTCAATGTAGCTTTATGTATATCTTGTCCATATAGAAAGCCTGCAAATGTGAATGGCATGTTGAAAGAGCTAGTGGTAAGATCCAATTTGGGAATATGCCTTTGGAAAAACCACTATGATAACAAAATAGTCCAGGGAGCCAGTATGGTGTGGTGGTTAAGAACTTGGGACTGGGACTCAGGTGATCTGGGTTCTAGTTCCCACTCCGCCATGGGGTCAGCTGAGTGACTTTGGGCCAGT